TACTTATTTCACTCACTGAAATGCAAATCAATTTCTAACCATTATATAATGTGTTTTTTGGTTGATATTCTGTCTCTATCCGTTAAAATAAACCTACCATAAAAATGACAGACCCTTCATTTCTCTGTAAGTGGGCAAACTTACAAAATCAGCAGGGGATCAAATAAATATTTTCCCCACTGTATTGCTAAATTTTTCTAAAGATTTTCCAAAGACTTCCCAAAAAAAAAGAAAAAAAAGAAAAACATCTTGTATGGCCTTAGGTGAGTAAATTGAGGCAATAACAGAAAGTGTAACATGAAAAGCTACAAATATAATGACAAATTTACTTGCATGAAAAGGAGGAAAAGGAAAAGGAGGTCTTGGGCATCTTTTTTTTTCCAATTCAAGGAAAGTGTATGGGGATTTATACTGCTTTTATATAGCTTTTTTTCATTAACTGTTCCCTCCTAGTGAAATGACCTGCCCAAATCAATCAGAGCAGCTGAGTCCTTAACCATCTTCAAGAAACGACTAAAAACACATCTGTTCCACCTTTATTTGACCCTCTAACTCTAACACTTTCTATTCTATTTTAATTCTACTTTATCTATATTTATCTTTTATTCTTTATTTAAAAAAAAAAAAACAAACAAAAAAAAACACTAGCTTTCTATTTTTTCTATTCTATCTACAGGTGCATCCTTGCATAGTGCCTTTTTGGAGCTTAGTAGCATAAATCACCATTTACTTTTGATGCATGAAAAGAGCAGCTCACTTTCTGCCTAGTATAAATTATTTTTCATGACCAAAAGAAAAGGGTCAGCAAATCATGACAGAATATTCATTTGTTGGGTGAACTTTAAAAACTTTAATGTAAAGTGTGCTGATATTCTATCCTGTAAAACAGGAGTGCCCAAACTCGGTCCTGGAGGGCCGGTGTCCTGCAGAGTTTAGTATGTAATAAGCAACACGTAGTTTAAGCATCTGTGGAAACCACACTGCATTGTGGATTCAATATCCTTTGTATGACACCATAGTTGCAAATGTATTTAATATTGTCATACCTGTAACTGTCTCCCCTGCAGTGACTTACAAGCTGACTGGAACTCAAGTGTGCGGTCCCGACACGTCATGATAATGCTGCAGAACCTCTTTCCCTCAACGGTATCAGGATGTGTATATGTGACAGTGAATCTGAAGCAATCCGGCTGCTGTGAAACTCTCTGTTGGTGCCTTTATGAGGCCAAAGCAAACACTTCAGACTTCAGTTGTTACTAAAAGCTTGGAAGAGCTGACTGTTCTCCAGTGACTCCGCACATCATCTGAGGATCACAGAATGAATGAATCAATCACCTGAACTTTGATTGTCATTGCTGAGAAGAGACTAAACAATGTTCTAGGAAGTACTTACACACTTGAGAATACTATAAATACTACTGCACTTGATAACAAAACAACAAACCTAATGACTACAAATAATGCACAAGGTTTTCTTAGACTAATTTCACTTTTTTTTAACAATGATTTTCAACCACTTGGTGTCAAATACAATTCTCTAGGTACATGGTTGCTGTGCATCCAGGTAAAATAAGTAGGTAAACACTCTGGTCTGGATGTCACTCCCACATCCAGTAATAACTGACAAATATACTGATCCCAACACCTCAGCTCAACATTCTTTATAAAATTAATAAGGAAACACTCTAGACAATGTCTACAAATCATCAGACAGCTGAGCAGGGAGGTAACGTTAAAATGAACTCGGATGTTATCGGATTATAGGCCACCTAGAATATTCTGGCTTCACAGATTGACGTGTAATAACACAAATCCATGAAGGAAACTCATTCTTCGCGAAAATATATTACAAGCTTTTACTTACATGTTTTAAAGATTAATCCTATCTTTCAAGGTGCTTACATGTTTGTTTATGTCAGTACAGCGCCCTAACACCGTCTTCAGTCTAGCAGTAACGTTACGCAGTTCTCTGAGTGATAATTGGCCCAAAACTCGACAACTTCCGTCTTAATTTAAACCATAATCACTCCAGTTGAGCCTAAACCACTAGCTAACAAATTCTTGACATCGTTTATAATCGTTTACTCACGGGAACTGTATCATTTCGTCGTTTTTTCCCAGTATTCCCGGCTTGTCGTTGATACGGAGGTCGGAGTTTCACTTCCAGTCCTTACCGCTTCCGGTGTGCGTAACGTCACTGCCACGTCCACTATTGCGCACGCTCACTACCACTCGCCGAAAGCGTGACTTGTGACGCAGATGATCAGTTTCGTGCGATGTGCATGTTAGTGTAAATGTATTTGAGTCTTGAAACTTTACTTTATTTTCTATTTTTTTAATTAGCATTTAGTTTTTACGTTTTCCATTTACTTTTCACTTTATAAATGTAGTTTTAGGCTTTTTTTGTTGTTTAAAATAGTTTTATAGCATGTTTACGCTATTATTTCTAGTTTTAGTATTATTAGGGCTGCCATTTAACACAGTGGATGTTTTTTAACAACAACAATAATAATTATTATTATTATAAATTCACTTCATGCATCGATCGATTGATGCTTTTAATATTCCCAACCACAGGTCATCTGTGTTTTTTAATAATTAATTAAAACTAAAATAATTTACATTTAAAATAGTATTGGAGCCATATAATTTATTTTTGTTTTAGTTTTAGTTTGTCCAACTGTTTATTTTATTTTTTATTTAAAGGGGTCATATGATGTTGCTAAAAAGAACATTATTTTGTGTATTTGGTGTAATGAAATGTGTTTATGCGGTTTAAAGTAAAAAAAAAACATTATTTCCATACTGTACATTGTTTCTCCTCTATGCCTATTATTATTGATTTTGTCAGTGCATTTTATGGCGAATATTCGTGGTTTATAGACATACAACAATTTTATTAGCAAATTTACTGAAGGCAACGTTTCAAAGCACTACACGACCAGCAGATGTCGCCAAAAGAATTAAAACCATGAAATGAATCATTTTGAGGTAAATATGATTTTAAAGATTAAAAGACTACTTATGCACTCTGATTAAAACTGCAACAAGACTTGGTCGTAGTATACACACATCACCAAGCCAAATTACACTGGTCAAAAGTGCTTTTGAAACATAATTGCGAACAAAGCAAGCACGCACTCATTTGTTTTTATGATTGGGACGTTTCCTTCACTTTTATTGTTTTTATTCTAAGCTACTCTTATTTTCTACCCCTAACTCTAACCTCACAAAAACATATTTGGGTTTTCATTAAAACATTTAGCATGTTTCCTAATCCATTTGTAACCATGGCTGATTCCCACAATGTAGATCATTTTAGATTTTACTATCCTTATGTGAACATTTGGTCTCCACAGACCTACACACACACATACATATTCTCAGCTATTCAACATGAAGCAGCATGTAACCTGTTTGATGTCCTCTCAGCATAAGAGCTTTTTGCGCTCCTTTATCTCCTTTGTGCAGATCAGCCCAATTCACTTTGAATCCAGCAAACCCTGTAACTTATCACAGGATCTGCATTATTTTGGACTGAGATTGATGACACAGTTCTTTTCAGCCCATTTGAGACAGGGTTCAGTAGCATCAGTGTTCCCTCAGAGCAGAAATTCTTATAAAAACACATTAGAAAACCACTTTTAATGACCTAAATGTGAAGGTTTACATTTTTCTCTTACATGCTGACACATACACACAGGCTGCGCTCAGACAATGTCGTCGTCTCTGCCAGATAACATCACAAGGCACACATATTCATGTTGTCCAGATAGCATCCAGGCCTGCTAGAACACAGCTGCTTCAACAAAGAGACGCAAGGAAAACACGACTCATGTTTTATCATTAGTGCCACTTTGGGCACCAACACACTCACACACGCAAGAGCAGGAAAACAACACAGGACTTTGTGTTTTTAGCTGGAAATGAAAAAAGGGGTGAGCCTGACAGCGGAAGAGGGCAGCCCTGGAAAATATCAGTTCTATATTGCCTATAAGAATAGAGGGAGGAAGGGAGAGAAAGACAGAAAGTGGCACAGAAAATGTATTCCATCTTCTGGACAGATGAGTCACTCTGCGTTTTCTCCCTCTCCCGTTTTTCGTAATCTTGTGGGTGGGCTGCTAAATTTAGTCCTGGCACTGAGCCCTGACAGACAGGTAGGCCAGCATCAGCCTCAAAATGAGTCTTCACACACTCTAAGCAAACACACACCTTTGGAAACAGTCAAAAATGTGTACATAAATCCATACAGACAGACTGCTGCACACACACACACACACACACAAAAGAACACACACACATGACCTCACTGCATCAAGCACAGTCATCAAACATTTTGTGAAATATTTATATGAGAACTCGGCACTCCAGTGTCTCGCTGCGTTTCACTGCAGGTGATGTGCTGGAGAGGATGTTCTATTTTGATAATGTCACTGGAATCAGATGTCTGGCTCTCTATTAATACAAAATCCCATTTGAGAGTGTGATAAGGGGACCAGATAGTGAATAAAAGCGCTGCTCAGCATGATCAAATCTGACCTTTACAAAACTTGTCAGCAAGCACAGGCCAATAAAAACCCTTGTTTGAGTCTATATTACAGCAGAACATGTTTAGATTTAGTCTAAATAATTCGTGAATAGAGTCTCATAAAAACTTTTATTTACATTTTTTATAGTTAAAATAGAAAATAAGGCAAATCCATACAGACAGACTGCTGCACACACACACACACACACACAAAAGAACACACACACATGACCTCACTGCATCAAGCACAGTCATCAAACATTTTGTGAAATATTTATATGAGAACTCGGCACTCCAGTGTCTCGCTGCGTTTCACTGCAGGTGATGTGCTGGAGAGGATGTTCTATTTTGATAATGTCACTGGAATCAGATGTCTGGCTCTCTATTAATACAAAATCCCATTTGAGAGTGTGATAAGGGGACCAGATAGTGAATAAAAGTGCTGCTCAGCATGATAAAATCTGACCTTTACAAAACTGTCAGCAAGCACAGGCCAATAAAAACTCTTGTTTGAGTCTATATTACAGCAGAACATGTTTAGATTTAGTCTAAATAATTCATGAATAGAGTCTCATAAAAACTTTTATTTACATTTTTTATAGTTAAAATAGAAAATAAGGCCTATTTTAGGAATTTTGGTTAATTGTCATTACATTTAAAGACATTTAAATTTTAATAATAATAATACATTTAAAAAAATCTTATTGGTCAAAAATAGGCCTTGTTTTCTAGAGAAATTAATTTATTATTATTATTATTAGAATTCACTGCAAAATTAAAAGACTATATATCGAAATTAGAAAATGAAGCCTATTTTAGGATTTGGTTTACTGTCATAAAATGTAAAGAAAATTGGTTAATAACAATATTAATTTATTATTATTATTAATATATATATAACCGAACAAAAAGCAATTAAAGTAGCATAGTAATAGTAGTAGTATTAATAATAATCATCATCATCACTATCATCAACTATACAATTTTAAAATTAATAGAACAAACGTGCAGAAAAATGTTAATGGTTATAAAATTAGACTTCATTTTCTTCATTTTTTATTTTATTTTGTGGAATGTGAGCCAGACATTTCTTTGTGAGAAGGATTGATTCACTGGTAGCGCTGCATGTATTTTTAGAGGCATATTATTGGCTGCATCACTCCTGTTAAAAGCCTAGAGAACACAAAGAGAGAATAAAACAAGTATCAGTGAATCATCAGACAGGAGATATCAGGTAAGGCTTGTGCTGTTCTACAGGTGCTGGGCTGGTGGCATTAGCATTAACAGTAAGCAGTGTGTGTGTGTGTGTTTGTGAGTCTGACTCAGCAGCAGTCAAGCGAGAGGAGGGAGAGGGATAATATTATTTCTCACATCATTACGGAGCTGGCGGCCCTCTGCCCGAGACTCCCAGACCCAGGTGATAATTATCACAATGTTTATCTTTCATTACCGTTAAACGGCAGGAAAAGAGAAGGGAGGGGATGGACGACACAAAACAGGGAGGTTGAATTAAGAATAAAACAAAGACTAAAGCAAATATGTGCATTCCCTACAGAAAAGTACTGTTGAATTAACATGGTACAGTGATGGTATCAGATGGTAATACTTCGATATGTATAGGCCTATACAATGGTACTGAAATATTACTACACATATACCATATTTACATGATACTCCAAGGTCAAGGTCTTCTTCAAATCATGTTACATGTCCAGTTATAGACCATATTTCCACAACAGATTCAATCTCACAATAACATGTCCAGGTCACATTTCACCACAAAACTTAAGTCTATTTTAGGACCATTAAGATTTTTTGCACTATAAACCTTATTTTAACCACAATTTCCATATTTTCTAACCGGAATCACATCACCATGATAGATATTACTTAACATTAGTAATCGTATACAACGATTTTCTAGTCATAAACTACAAAAATTAAATGACACAATGACAGTACAATAAACACTGGCATAATGTATAAATAAAACGTATAATGTAAAATAAATGTAAAATGTATAAATATATATATATACTGTATATATATATATATATATATATATATTTATCTTTGTTTTCAACACAGTGATAGGAATATGCATTATGGTGATGAGAATTGGGGCAGAAATGTACTTCATTGTTATGAAAATAATGCAAAAAATCTATATAAAGCATTGAGATTTTTCTTTTGATTTAAAAAAATGTTTTTGAAAGAACCTTGATTTGAAATATGACCCAGACATGTTTTTAAAAGGTTTTGTGAGATTCACCCGGTAATACTGCAGTACTTTTGCAAGTGACACTTCAGAATTACCAAATCATCACAAATCTATCTCAAAAATAAGACATTTCACTTTATTTATATATTATTAATATATAGCACATTGCTTTATGGCTGATGTGTTTTGTATATACTGTATGTGTGATCAGACCTACGTTTGAATTTATACACTTACACACATTGTAGACAGAGCAGAGCAGAGCAGAGCAGGTTATGTCTCTCTGTAACAAATATTACACACACGTTCACACACAGGAGAATCGGGCACAGATGGTATAGCAGCAATAACCATTATAATTTCGTTCAAACAAACACTCAAAGCTTATATCGTGTATAGACTGTGGTACAGACTGGGTTCTGTTGGGTCTTGATCTACCTGGATACATACGGACAGATGCGGTTCTATGCACAAATTCTCGGAACAAAGATAGCTACGTTAACTTTA